TGGTGCACTGCATCTCAACAAGGTTGTACACATTTCTTGGCTGCATTATGGAGTGAGTAAACAGGCAGTGAGCAGTGAACTGGATAGAGAGAGAAATGTGCATAAGCATTCCTGCCTCTTGTTGTTGACAAGTAGAATGGCTATCGGAACTTGACAAGCAGATGGAAATGAACATAAATGTGGCCATTGTTCTTACTAGAATCTGGCACTGAGACCAAAGCCCTTCGCTAAACAGAACAGAGTAATAAGGTTCAGTCAGCCACCTACAAGTGTCTAGCTCTTCATGACTAGATTTTTCATAGAGAATAAAGTTTTCAGGAGTTGAGAGTAGAAACAGGATGGCAAGAAAAACAAGTGTTTATGGAGCTTTCGCAGTTTCCCTGGCCGTTGCAAGCTTCGCCAAAAGGCCTGAGAGCTGGAGGAAGGAACCCACACCATCACAGATTCTCATATGAGCAAATCCTGTTTCCTGAACTCAGCAGGAAGTCAAAGAATGGTCAAGTGCAAAGTTAGGGCAAACCAAAAGAAAATAATATTCTTTACCTTCAGGAATTCCAGCTTCAAAAATTCAGCCATATCATAGTTCTTGATAACTCGGAAGAGAGTGGTGATTATGTCGGTGGGGGAGTAACCCAGATCGTAAAGCTGTTTCAAGCCAGCACAGGCATCATCAAAATTTCCTTCAAGCACATTGCGAACCATATTCTTTACATGCAGAGGGTGGGGCTGATCGCAAACCTGTCAATCAAATTGTCAAATAAATTGTCATAGAACAATCGATGGATTTTGAAAATGACGAATATTTGAAGATCCTTGATCAAACCTTGAACACATTCTCCTGATTGACAAACCGGAACCCACTAAAAGTAGCTTGCAAATTGTTTAAAGCTTGCCTCATATCGCCATCAGCAGTAAATATAATGGCCTCAAGGCCTTCTGGTACATAAGGAACCTATTGAAATTTGACAGCAAGTCAATTAATTGTACACAATCCATTAGGGTTCTATCAAAAACACCATCATGCCCCTCACAACAAATTGTTTATCACAAATTACGATGGAACTGTTGAACCAGGGTAACCTCAACAAATATACAAGGGTTAAATAAAAAAGCAAAATTTACATATAGAACAAAGCAAGTGAAGCCGCACAGATAACTTTCACTAGTGCACGATAGCCATATGTTAGTTCCTGATGAGTATGCATCCTTGTCACACCCAATAGTTCAATGTTAGCAAATAAGAACGTTGTGGAATAAGAAATGAATAGAACAATTTGGCTTGGGTTTAAGCTTTCTGGAGAAGTTGATAAGCTTGATAGTTAGAAGTTTTGACTTGGGTTATTCCTTTGGTAAATTATCCAAAGTTTCTAATAAAGAATCTTAAGCACAAAATAGTTCTTCCAAAAAAAGATTCCCTTCTTTGCATTTCTTCACTGTTACCTTGCAGTTTCTAAAAAGAATAGGATGCAACCAATGTGATATATTGGAAAAAAGCATGTACCACTTCGTGATCTCAAATAGTAGTCATTTGCTTGATATAGTATAATCCTACACAGGAGAAAGAGAAGAGATAAGCTTCTATAATGCAACATTCAGAGAAAAAAATAAAACATTAATTATGGCAATCACATTAAGCCACCTCCCTGGGCTCAGAAATTTTGAGGATGCGAAGAGTAAGATAAAGAAAGGTCCAATCAGAGGAAGAGTCTTCATACAACGGTAAGGTTACTTGTTTGTGAGAGATTAGGATTGGAATCTCGAAAACAATCTTCCTAAATAACAGGTAAAACTGTGTACAGTAAATCCAACATTAGTGGGAGCCTAATGCATTGGGTTCATTGGTGGGATTCTTATGAATTGGGTTCATCTTTTTTTTATCTAAAATCTACATATGGCAATCAGGCTTAGTTCAGATTTCTGACATACAAAGAGGCATGGTAAAACAGACTACTTCAAGTAGCTCTATGGGATCAAGGATAGGACAGTATCAAGTACATAAAAAGTAAAAGCAAAAAATTGGGGATTATAAAAGGTTTGTTTCAAATATTCAGAAGAGAAAAGTACTGGATAGCCATTTGAAAGCTTATTCATAAGAATATAGTACTGCAATCCACCACAGAAATGAAAAATGGACCAGATATCTCAAACTTTTGAAACCAACTAACAAATTTATGTACAATGAGGTTACCTTCATGAGTTCAATCAGCACACACTGCATCGTAAATTTGTGTTCAAAAGCATATGCTTCTTCACTAACTATGCGAGTGCTAAGCAAAAATTTTTAGACAGCTTCAATCAGTGAACCTACTCTATCAGAAGTTCATAATCATTCTTAGCATGAACCAGGCAATGAGCAAAATCACACATATTCCCATAACATGAAGAAAGGGTAAATCATATTATGTGTAGTTTAAACTATTCTCTACAACTTTGGTTAAGAGCAAAGAATAAATATGAGTTGCCCAAACTCAGACAAAATCACATATCTAATCTTAGATACAAGAACTGACCGTATGTGTATCAGAGATGTGTTTTATGTAGTCCAAAAGGTAATAACAGCTTGCAAGTAAATTGAAGAAGTAAAGGATTCTGACAAAGAAGTGTATTATACTATTCACAACAACAAAGTAGCTAGATCATGTTGGAGTGTTCCGCACATTTGTCTGCTAGTTTAAGGTAAGTGAGATATAAAGTTCTTATTATCTCAATGGCAATATAATAACATAATGAGAACTAAATATTGGATACAGGGTGGACAATGTAAAATCTCCTGGATAGTCGAAAATCAAGCAAATCATTGAGGTCAATGATAAACCTATAACACAAACATTTACATGATACAATGAACTTTGCATCTGCAAAAAATTAAGAAAAGGGGAACTTAAGATTAATTGTAACAGATATCTCTACAGAAATCAGACAAACTGCCAGAAACTCCAGACAAGATGCTATAAAATTTATATAGGCGACAAGGTGAAACTCACGTCCATTAAATAAAATCTCAAATAAATTATTTATTTCAAACAACCCTATAAGAAGGGTTAAACAAGATTCTCAAAGATCACACAAGAGCATACAAGAATAATGTGGCATTGTCAGCAGAAGATTTACACTACCAAGGCATTTCTGCACGGAAGATGAAATAAGTGAGATTACCTACCCTCTCTGCCTCCACCACAACCATAAGGCGGCCAAGAATCTCTTGATCTGATAACCTTGAGAAGCGAACAAGAGCACATCTGCTCTGGATGGGCTCAATTATTTTAGACGAAATGTTGCATGCCAGAGCAAACCTCGTGGTGTTCGAATATATCTCCATCGTCCTTCTCAGTGCTTGTTGCGCCCCAGATGTCATACTAAACGTATTTCCCAATGTCAGATCAGAATCACCAAAATAACACTCACAAGCAGGAAAAGATGAAATTTTGCACTAAAAGATAAACCAAAATCATCAACTTACCTATCTGCCTCATCCAAAATTATAATCTTGTGCCGGCCTGGTGGCAGCGTCACTTTCTTCTGGGCGAACATCTTGATCTTGTTCCTCACTACATCGATACCCCTGCAAGATTCCATCAGACTCTTCCGCATAAGCAATATATGCTGCTAAAGGACCTGAAAATACAGATCGAGCAAACATACACAAACGCACAAAATCTCGAAAGGTTTTAAGGATACCTCTCGTCAGATGCATTCAGCTCGAGGACGCCCTCACGATAATTAGGCCCCAACAGCTCGTGCGCGAGGGCAAGGATGCTCGTAGTCTTCCCGGTGCCGGGAGGGCCCTAGAACCGGAGATGATGAGGTCAATCGACGCAAAGATCATTGCTTGGTTTGAGAGTTTTTACGCTCTCGGTGAGGCATCGGAGAGGAGAAAGGAGGAGCAAGATGGAGCTTACCGAGAGGATGAGGTTGGGCATGTTACCATCACGGGCGATGACCTCGAGGCGGGAGATGGCGTCGCTGTTGCCGACGATGTCAGAAACTTTGGATGGGCGATACTTCTCGACCCAGGGCACATCGTACGGGTTTGAGGAGGAGGAGGAGGAGGAGGCCATGGACTTTGGACGCCTCGCCGGTAAGCGGAGGGACGAGAGGAGCCGTGCGCGGGAGCCAAAAACCCTGATCTTGGTGGAGAGGGCAAGCACCAGGAGAAAGCCCAATCCCTTCCCTCAGACTCGAGGCCCGACATCATCTGGGCCGGGCTTTGTCACATCTGCGATTGTGTCTCGGTGTGCATCTTTAATCTTAATTAATATTTATATTTGGATTTACAATATTATCTATTAATTCTCAAAGATGAGAGAAAATAGGCATTACAATATTGAAATTAGTTCCCAATGCGCTATAATTGATGTCCATCTTCTTTACTTGTCAATCTAAGATAGGTATGAATAAGAAATGTTCTCCAATGTGTTCATATTAATTTGTCAAACAAAGACATACATAATTCAATTAGCAGGAATTGTATCAATTTGACATTTATGCGATCAATTTTCTAACATGATAGGTCGGTAGAAGGAAGTTAAATAATAGACTTGATTGAATAACGTGGGATTAAGTTGGGTTTGCGTGTCTCATGTGAAACTACTTTTTTCTTTGTTGACCCAATCGATTTGAAGGTAAGGAGAGCTTTCCTCAGTCAAAGTCTTCGGAGTTGCTCCGAAGGATTCTCCAGCATCTGCCTTTGTTCCGCTCGCTAAAGCAACCTTTCTCTTTCCTGTTTCTTGTACACAGCACTCTTTAATGCTTCTACGAGTAGTCAAACAAAGCGTTGGTCATAACGATTGGAAGAATAACAATAGTAATTATAGCTAAACCATAGTTTATTAGAAGTTCGTAAAGATAATTTTTGGAAAATGGTTTAATTATAATTATGTTGCTAAACATAATTTTTTATTTAATTATAATAACTTATGGTACGGGAAAATGATGTAAATTATCACACTAATAATTCCAACCTGCTGAATTAGTAGTAACGAGGTGGTCGTGACGATGGGTTCTCACGTAAGGGAACACGAAAAACGCAGCACCCGCTCGGAGGCGGCGGCTGCCACTGTTGTTGCCGAAGCGAAGACGGATCTCCCGCCGGTCCCAACCAGCGGTCAACGGCGAACGTAAGGGAAGTATAAATGTGTAACCCAAGGAAAGCGGGGGACGAATCCAAACGATTAGAATAATACTCCGCCCTTTCCGACGCAGATGCCGCAGTGCGTGGTTTCCTCGATCCATAATCCCAAAACGTCCTCCTACAAACCGCCGTCTGCTCCTCCTGTGCTTCTACTCCTCGTGATCGCCGCGATGCTGCCCGCCGCCGCCTCCGCTGCTGTCGTCGCCACAACCCCGCTCGTCGCCTTCCTCCAGCGGCTCCAATCGGCCGCCCTCGCGACCCTCGGCTCCGACGGCTTTGACCCCAAGCTCTACGTCGACCTTCCCCTCAAACGGAACCTCTCCGAGGTCGAGGCGGCCTTCGCCGCGCTCCCTAACGTCACCGGCGTTGTGCCGGCCCCCGAGTTGGAGCGATTCGTCGACGAGTATTTTGGCGCGGCCGGGTCGGATTTGGTGCAAGCGGCGCCCGCCGACTTCGTGGCGGAGCCGGAGGGGTTCCTGCCCAAGGTGAAGCACCCGAAGGTCAGAGCTTGGGCGCTGGAGGTGCACGCGTTGTGGAAGAATTTGAGTCGGAGAGAGGCCGACGACGTGAAGGAGCGGCCGGAGTTGCATACGCTGCTTTCGCTTCCCGGATCGGTCATTGTGCCGGGATCAAGATTCAGGGAGGTTTATTACTGGGATTCCTATTGGAGTATCAGGTCAGTTGATGACGATCTTGATCACCCACTTTTTCCTTCTGTTCCAATTTCACAAGCATCTTATGTTGGTTTCATCAAATTGCTCATCGGAGGATTTTGTGACCTGATGGAAGGTAGTTTTGGTATACGAGAGCGTTAAATTTAGTTCTAGGAAAGAATACCATGGTAGACAATTCACATGAATCTTTATTACTTTAAAGACATCCTTGTGTTCATTAATCTTTCATTCATGAACACCTTCAAATCAAACTTGGATCTTACAGTGTGCATGACACTAAGCAGCAAAGGAGGTATCTTTGATTTCCACACTGGGACAAGTTCACTAAAAATCAGGATATTAGGATACACAAAATTGTTCCCTAAAGGTTTCATCTTGCAAAGCAGAGCATATGTGTGTGTGTGTGTGTATATATATATATATATATATATATATATAGAGAGAGAGAGAGAGAGAGAGGAATGTTATTGAAATGCAATCTATATAGTATGATGAGCTGTTTTGGCTTACTTTCCAAACAAGATATCTTTTTTCACCTGATGCAAGTGACTGCTCACCCTTTTTGCAAATGTTATCTCCTATATAGTTTTTTTTTTTTCATTCCTCTCCTCCATTTTTTTCACTTTTTCTTCTGTTTTTGTTCTTTCTGTCCTCCATCTCCTTACCTCTTCTTTTCCTTCTCTTGTTTCTCCTCTTCGCATCTTGATATTCAAAGTAAGCATGACAACGAGAGAAAGGGGATTCAGGAGAAGATAGTTGTTTTATTTGATGTTGATATTATTTATATACCCCTTATTATTATTCAACTTTATTTAGAATTGCAACGATATTATTATCTTTTGCATATGCTAGAAATGGACCAATTATGCTTAAGTTTTGGATGTGTCTATTTAGAGTCGGATAATGGATTTTCCCATCAAATCGTCCGATACAATATGGTTTTAATAACTGTAAAAATTAGCAATGTTGTTCATTTATGTATGTCTTATTATGCAGGGGCTTACTAGCCAGCAAAATGTATGAAACTGCAAAGGAAATAGCGCGCAATCTTCTTTCACTTATTGAAAAGTATGGCTTCGTCTTGAATGGTGCAAGAGCATACTATACTAATCGAAGGTGATGATCTTTAGCTCATTTCCTTCAGTGGTAATGTGCATCAATTTGTTCTGAAACATCAAGTGCATTCTGCATTTATTTCTGAAATCTGTATCTTCTGTTATGTTGGGATCACTTGTTAAGATCAGTTAAGGGAGCCTGGATGAGGTTCAAAATGTCTTAACTGCTTCTACACTAAGGAAAATTATTGCTAGATTTCACATGGGGTGGCCATATGTAGTATTTCCACTTTCCGGCAGCTGATATTCCTTATCATGTTTTCTCTTCTCTTCTTTTTTTTTTTTTTTTGAAGCAATATATGTTTTTACTTTCAAATTAAATGTTCAATACTGATCTATTGAGACTATGTGGTTTGCACTAAGAAAGGGTATCATTTGGACCCAAAATATTCTTTTATTCTACATGACCCAGAGTATGTCATTTAGTACCAGTTCTATACCCTCCTTTAGCAATTTGTTGCCGAATAAATTGTAATACTATGTTGTTTACTTAGCACACTATGGTTTCTATTCAAAGATGTAGAGGATTTCTGAGACCATGTCCGTGGAAAGGTGAATCAGTTTAACTTATTTTAATGAAAGAGGCAGCCTAATGCACGAGCCTGTGTCAGTGCAGGTTTGTGATGAGCTGAATGTAATAAACAAGAAATTACTTATTCCATTTTTAAATAAGATATTAAACTACTTTATGATATTACATTATGTTAAGATACATAAGATTTCTTATGAAGGAAAAAGATATTAAGAGACAAATTTGGTTAGGAATTCCATTTACATAGTGAATAAAACAGTTTAGTTTGTTTTCATATCAACAAAACAACTTGTAGTCCAAATAACAAAAGGAAAATTTCTATTCCCACTTATACCTATAGTAGAAGCACATTTGTGAGCTTGCTAAGAATTGGCTTTTGGCAAGATTTAACGGAAGTTTATACTCTATATTTTCTGAAGACAGCAAAGAGAGACTAATGGCATTTTATCTGCTAAGTTATGTGGCTTGATGTGATCTACATTAGTTTCAGTGGGATTATATTAAGCTGTTCTGTTTTCTGGTAGGCAGAAACTTGATGGTCTGAAAAGAGACCACATGGAATTGTTAGATTCAAATTGATTTTGATGATTTCTCATTCAACCAAGAATTATGCTTTCACTGATTCCATATATAATAAATGATGAGCATTGACATGTACCGTCTACTATATTCTAGTAATTGCTCTTGAATGTTTCTGTCTTCCATTTTGAAGTTTGAACATGTGGAACTTTATGCAGTCAGCCTCCACTATTGAGTTCAATGATACTGGAAATATACAAGAAAACTCACGATTTGAAATTAGTAAAACAATCCCTTCCTTTATTGCTCAAAGAACATAAGTTCTGGAATTCAGGTTTGTCTCATTTCTTGCAATCCAAAACTTACCTCCCTTACTATGTTTATTGCTATGTTTCTAAATTATTTTGTTTAGGATATATCCAATGTTCTTGAAAAAATTGATACAGAGATCCATAAGGTGACCATTCAAGTTGCACGTGGAAAGAAACACTCCCTCAGTCGCTACAATGCTATGTGGAACAACCCCCGGCCAGAATCTGCTACTACTGTATGTTTCAATTCCATGTATTATTTTTCTAATTTGATAATGATAATGCATCAGATACGAAAGTTGCTACCTTCTCGTAGGATGAAGAATCTGCTTCCAAGCTTTCAACTGCTGCTCAGAAGAAGAACTTGTACCACCAACTTGCTTCAACTGCTGAATCGGGATGGGACTTCAGCTCACGATGGATGAGGTTATGTATTTCCTGTTGTACTTGTATAGCATCTTGAACTTGCAATTCTGCTTAGGTCTTATTTGATCCTTGAGTCAACTTTACTAAATTAATACATTTTCTTTGTAGCATATAGTTCATTTAATGTTTGCAGTACTTTGAATTTGGTGTTTATTTTTTACTTGTTTACTCATCAATCTCCAAGCCTTCCTTATATTTTATGCTGTTAAGCTGGATGCAAGTCATCTACACCTTGCAGTTTATCGAAATATTTTTAGTAACTCAAGCTATAAAAGTGATGCTTCAGCAGCTAGTTCTGTGTTACTTCATCTGGCATTTCTTGTCTGCTGCAGCAATTCATCTGACTTGACAACATTAGAAACAACATCAATCATACCTGTGGACCTAAATGCTTTCATATACAAGGTATGGGAAGCAAGATTTCCATTTTCTAAATGTTAGATGCTTTGCTTTTATGGTTTTATCTGGTGACATATGTATAAAGAGCTAACTATTTCGAAATCTGTCAGTATTCTGCTTGAATCTCATATGTGAAGATTGTAATAGTGTTTTAACAGCAGAAAGGTACAAACTCTCTTGAGATGATATTTCAATTATTTTTATCCAATCATTGAACACATTGGTAAGGAAATACATTCTTGCACTAAGATAAAAGGGGCATATTTTTTTTATCTGGAGAATATATGTTATTGCTGATATGCTAATAGGATTCAACATAATCTATATGGATTGACACACAGCATTTAGTCCTAGCTGATGCAGGCTATAGGGAAGATCAGTATGTCCAGCCTTCTGCCTACAAATATATGTGTTGTTTCCATAGGAATGGGGTTTATAGAATTTCCAGTTATTCTGTTTTGGTGCCAATTATGATTCTAGTTCCTTGTACTTTATATTGTTAGTATGTATATGTAATTTCTGAACTATATGGAACTTTTGAGATTGATACTCTATTCTCTGTCAACACCTGAAGCAGCAATTTTGCTTGTTGTAACAGATGGAATCTGACATAGCCTTCTTTGCAAAACTCACTGGGGACAGTGTGACCTCAGAAAGCTTCTTGGCAGCTTCGAAAGCACGGCGAGTAGCAATAACATCCATTTTTTGGAACTCACAGAAGGACCAATGGCTTGACTACTGGCTTATAAAGAAGAGCAACTCTGAGGTGCACTGCTCCCTTGTATCCTCATTTATCCTCTTAAAGAAGAAACATGTTAGCTATGTATGTTGGTTGACGATATTTCAATTAAATTGTTTGCATTTTTCCAGGAATTCTACCAATGGGAAGCACACCACCAAAACCATAATATATTTGCCTCTAACTTCGTACCTCTATGGATAGGGGCATATAGTTCAGGTATGTCATCATCTCTCTGTGATTGAATCAAGACTATCATGTTGCAGAGGAACATTCACATTATTTGAGGTTTAAAGTGCAGAAGCATTAAATCCATTCATCACATATATCTACCATTGTTTTACTTGAAGATTAAAGCACACCTAATGTTTTATGTTGCATCCGACTGCAACTTATCCATAACTACAAGTGAGTTTGGTATTTACGCTTATCTGTATTTTCTGTCTGGAACTCCAAGATCAGATTGAGCAAATTGAAGAGTTGGAAAGTGTCCCACAGAGCTTTTTTATTGTGTTCCATCCTAGGTAAGAAAGTTGTTTCAGGCTTCGTTTCTCCAATTATTATAACCAGAGAACAACGAAATATATGATTTAGAGGTATTTAACCAGGGATCGCTAGATATTTACCAACAGTACACACTACAATGGAGCTGTCATCGTCTGAATCACTTCTGTCAATGATTGTGACACTTGATTATGGAGTTAAATGTAGTATATGAGAAGAAAATTCCAAATTATATTACAATGAACCACTAATGTATACGCTGCATATTGCTGTATATCAGTGTAAATATTTTTATCTGATTTCGTGGAGAAGCCCACATCAGAAAAGGATGAACCTTTTTAACTTTTTATGTGAAGAATGAGTGTTTCAAAATTATTAACTTCCTTTAAATTGTTGTCCAAAAAATTGTAACTCTACTTTCAGATGCTTATAAAGATGGACCAAAGGTGGAGAAAGTTCTGAAAAGCCTCCAAAATTCAGGGCTACTTCAGCCTGCTGGAATTGCTACCTCATTGACAAATACTGGGCAACAATGGTAAGTTGTGTCTTCTTGTAACTAGACGTCAAACTGCCATGAACAGATCTACCAAAGGAACTGAACCATGAATCACTATTTTCTTATTTTATGATAAATAATAATAACAATGCAAGTTTTTGTTGATTGTGGGAGCAGGGATTTCCCAAATGGTTGGGCCCCATTGCAACACATGATTGTTGAGGGATTGGCTAATTCTGGTTCTGAAGAGGCAAGGTCTTTGGCTGAAGACATTGCTGTCAGGTGGATCAGAACAAATTATGCTGCCTACAAGAAAACTGGCGCCATGCATGAAAAATATGACGTTGAGGCCTGTGGAAAGATTGGTGGAGGTGGGGAATACAAACCTCAGGTAATGAACCCATTCAAGTTATTCTTGTTGACAATTGATTTGATCTATCTCAAGATTTTCAGCGCCATTTTTGGTTTCTGCATTGAGATTATGTAGTCATAGAAGAAACACTCAAGTTTCTTCAAAAAGATGCCTTCTTGGTCCTTCTGAATACCATTTATGAGTGAAATTTTTAGACATCTTCACAAGTATTCCTAAGCATATGTTATTAGCTGATGAGATAGTCCTTGGAAAAGAGGCAAAGCACATGTTACAAAAGTGGATAACTTCAGCATTAACTTCATCTTTGATTAAGTCTTCTATCAATGGGAAAGGACATATATAATATTTTGACTACAGATGGGAAATAGCCAAACTCATATGGCTACATTCTCCCTTTCCAAGAGTCATATCTTCATTCGATTACATGTAGATTGTCTGGCATCCACTAAGAGATATCTGAATCTTTTATGTTACCTATTCTTCTTATACTATTTTACATTTCCTTTTGATGATCTTTTTTTGTTTATTCTGTGTGCACTGTGACTGCAGACTGGATTTGGTTGGTCCAATGGTGTAGTGCTTGCTTTTCTGGAAGAGTTTGGTTGGCCTCACGACAAAGAAATAGATTGCGATTCATAAGAAGAGGTTTGATGCTCATGATTGGACTACAATTCTCAGCTTAAATATCGAACATATTCACAAGTTCTCGAGTTCTGTTGTCCTGTTCCAGATCAGGCAGAGACTATAGTTCATATGGAACAACTTAGGTGTGTATTTGGTTGGTTTTGAGTGTGGAAAATGTAGGCTATAGAGCCAAAGTAAAATAATGACAATTAGCACATTGTCATTCGATGTGTCAGTTTATATATAAAGTGGATTCTTTCCTAATAATTCAATCTTGTTGTGATGAATGATAATTTCTAAATAATTGAGATTTTACGACCTTATTGTTGTGATTGCTATTGTGATGAATGATAGTCATATCATAATTATTTCGTGATATGGTAGCTGATCATAAGTTTGAATTTACTTTTAGGATAAGTGATAACCCTCTCAATATACTGTATCTTTAACTTGACTTATGTCAAACTCCTTATCAAGCATTTTCAGGATAAATAATAAATCTCAATTAAAATCTTATCGCCATGACTATATAATCTTGTAAGTGAGGGAAGACGTTCAAAGTATAGATTATCATAGTTGTTTCTCGTGTTGTTCCTTTTCTCATTCACTAGGTGGATTAATGTCAACTTCCATCACCATAATTCTAAAGCTTGTTATGAATGGCCTCCCAAACACCAACTTCTTATGCCATAATATATATCACAAATTTATCCGCAAGATACTACAACAACAACAACCGCAACAAAATCATAAATCCTAACTATTTAGGATTAGCTACATGGATCTTTTATCATAATTGAAATATATTGACTCACAAGATAATAAGGAGAAATAACGTAAGACCACAATTAATAAGATTGGGGCAGCTGACATTAAATAAAATTCAGGCTTTCCACGGGAATGTTTATTTGAATCTTTAATGTGATTTGTCTCTGGGAAGTTAACATAAGATTGAGAGGGAAAACAATTCACAGTTTGAGGTTACTTCATGGAATAAGATATTTTTTCATGAGAACCAAGTATTAAGAATGTGAAGTGCAAGTATGTCTCAACAGCTTGTGAATCATGCAAGCATGCTTGTATGGGAATGCTTTCCAGGGCTTCTATTTGTCACCAATGTCAAATGGCTCAAGAAGGTCGAAGCAACTTTTAGATGAATTAGCATTTCATGGATTTGTTCTAAAAGTAAGAACCATAAGACAACACAGGAATAGAAAATTTCTAATAGAACAGAAGCAATTTCAGCAACCAAGCTATCACACAATTCCTAAGGAGAAATGATGGGTAATATCATCCCAACATGATCCAAAAGAATGGAGAAATTTAACTGAGATAGAAAGGAAAATTTATCAGACAACCGATGTCAAGAAGGCACATACATGTTACATGACTTCATGGGTTGACTTTCTCAGACATCCACAATTTGAATCCTTGCTCACTTGATCTGGATGTGAAGATGAATCGTTCATTGCTTTTCAAATTTAAATAATCAACCTGAGTTCAACAGATGATAGTACAAAAAGAAAATTAAATAAAAACATTGATAGAACTGAGCAGCACATCGACAAAACTATCGAAAAGTTTCAGGAAAATTACGTGGTTGATATTAAATAGAAGCCTTGGGGAAAAACAAGTTAAGAAGAGAGGCTGAATGTGGTGGCATTTTGTTTTGTAAATGGAAAATTGAACTTTATGAGACTCCAATGAACAATCTAATAAATTACATAGAAGCTCTGCACCATGAAACTAATTAATAAAAGTTCTTGATGACTATCTAACCTGTTCTGGATCAAAGAGCAAAAGGCAAAATGCTTCAACTGGGCCCTCAGATGGGTCAAGTTGATTCTCTTCGCCAGAGCCATTGCTAATATCTGGAAGACGAGGGGCAGGTGCTAAGTACTGTAGCCGTGACTTGAGAGAACTAGCAAACCAAGCTTTTTCCCTCTGCTGCATCAAGAGATAGTTGTTTGTATTGTCAAAGCTAAAGATCAGTTGAACTGAGGAGATAAAGTAATTAATTATTTTGGTTGGGTAGGAAGTCAAAATGCTTTGTGCATTATGCTAAAGAAGACAAGACATTCTTGAAATTAGCAGCATGCTTGAAAGAGATGGATCACCTTTGTAATCTTATTTCTTTACTGTGACCATTACTTAATTTTTTCCAGAGTGAGAAATAACTCATAGGCAGAATACATAATGTATGAACGTCTATGGGAAAATTTTAACTCCTTTCCCTTATAAGATAAATGACATACCTAATGGCAAAGTTCAAGAAACTAAACATACAGAATGATTCCAATACTTCAATTCAGAATAGCATTAAAAACAAAAAAGGTAGAGGATGCGAAAAAGATTACCAAACCACGGCACAATTAAATTAGTTATAACCAAAGGCCATGTACATTTCCTATTGTAATGTATGTCCTTGTCATACTAGCATTCCCCTATTTGTCCAAGTCTAGTGCTTGTTTTCATCCTTCAAAAAGTGTAAAAAATCAATGATCTATGTATCTCCCTCCATTCTAGAACTAAAGATCTTTAATGAAGACAACAAAAGATTCTTTAATGTGAAAATTGATTATAGTCTTTTCATTTTTTAAGAAAGGAATGTGTCAATTCATGTAGGTGGATTTGTGCTCACAATTACCACTCTCCCCTAGACAAGAGCTCTGATAATGATGGTGTCCAGTCATGGACCTGTTTTGCACAGAAAAATAGGGACATGTTGCTTAAAATGACACTATATAGTGCCATAACAGGTGTTCAAGCAACCATGCACAGAACTTCAGTATAGTGTCACATTAAATTCAGTTTAAAATAACAGACAAAAAAATACTACAGTGCTTAAAATCAACAATGAAAAAAATGTTCTAAGAGATAGTAACAAACTTTTTTCTTTTGTATCAGTTTAATGATTTAATAACAGATTTCCCATTTGTGGTATGACCTGATTTTACTTCACCTATCTGTAAAATTATTGATAGCACTTAGCCCACCTGTGGGTATCTCTGTCAGCTCACCCAACAACTGCTGATAAGGCCATGTCTATAAAAGACCTCTGGACATTTTGCATTTTTGCTAAAGTTCAACAAGTGTTATATGTACACCACAATTAATTGATACATCCAATGTGGCATCTCATATGATATTTACATGGCACTTTCTAGCCATACTTTCCATGTCCCATATGGCAACCCAGGATGACAAATAGATGCCATATCACCACAATGCCAGTGACAACTCATTGACAAATCCTGGTTTATCAATAGGTTAATGCTGATGTGACAGACCATTTGCCATCTTACATGGTACATATATGTCATCCATGGCTCCACTAAAGTTTGAAACTGCTACTTTCATATGCAAGGGGCATCCATGTGGATGACACAAACATGATGTTACCACAAAATCAGAACCAACTCATCAATGAATCCTGGTTTATATGTTGTGTGATTGTAGTAGCCTAGTAGGAGGTTGATCTAATACCATGTCAGCAAAAAAGCCAGTTCAGCAAAAATAACTGCTCAAATTTAGGAACTAGGACTTTAAATCAAGTAGATAACCTTCTTTGCTGAAGTAAACCTAACGAGAGTTCAGGGATGGTTAATGCAGATACAATCAAATGAACAAAGTAATACAAAAACTACCACAGACCTGTGCAATGGAGTCAAGGCTTACAACATGTGATCAGTAATTTTATGCTAGTTTAAATGTACACAAATGATCATCATGTTAAGGATCAAAGCTGTCTCCTAACCTGCAGCTTGCAAGCATCTGAATTTGCTCCGTCGATAATGTCAATTTTTCCATTTATTCTAAACTGTTCCCACGATTCAGTGAAGTACCAACATATCTATAAAAGAATCATAAAGCATTAGAACCTAACATATAATCCAACTCCTCTAGTACAAATCTTCTTAATTTGCAGTCCACTCAAATAAATAATGAATCTCATCCAGTGATGATATAATTGGAGGTGTAAGCCTCTGATGATACATGGTGTTTACATAATTTACTGAATCGTAAGTCATCTTTCGATGCAGATTTATCCTTACAGAAGTGAGATTTTTGCCTCGTCATTCTATTTCAGCGAATGCAAGGAAAGGAAAAGTAATTGCAGTACTCGCTTTACAGAACCTACAGAAGCAAACATTATGGATGTTGATTTGAGATTCGTATGCCAAATTATACACTTTCTTCCTAAAAACTCAGTTGCAACTACTGATGCTCAGCATGCTTCAACCAAAAGATCGAACACGCATACTATCATATACCTCATAAACCAATTACCTCTCCCAAAATGGCAATGCTTAATCTCCTCGATCTGTTCCGATCAACAACAACAAGCACAAATGTTCAGCGAAATGGAATTCCTTTCACTATCCAGATAAGTAAAACCTCACCTTGGCGCTGCGACGATCGGTGTTTATCTGAATCACATTGGTATCCTCCTGAAACCCTCTAATTACTCCAAAACAGGTTCAGACCCAAACGCCTGCGATCTAAATGAAGCAAGAAGAGAACGGATCTTACCTGAAGACGACCGTCCGATTGGAAGGTCTTCCGTTGGAGCCGATCGTCGCCTGCGACATAATTTTCGATCAGAATCAAATAGGAGAAGCAAGCAATAGAAGGGGGGAGTACGAGTTGGAAGAAGGCAGATTGCTTGAGGTGGGCGTTGGCGTCCAAGGCTCTGAGGAGGAGGGGCTTCCATGACGCTGCCGTCGCCATACCGGAAAAGCTACGCTCCTCTATTTCCTTCTCTCCTAGTTTTTTTGCTTCGGCCTCGAGAACACGGCGACGGATGTGTCGCTCCTCGGTCCTCTCGCTCCTGTTAGTGCGCGAAATGGGTTACGACTTAAATCACGATGGATGTACGTGGCAACACATCACTGGATCTTGCATTAGCTCAAGTAATTTGTGGTTTGGATTATTCGCTATTAAGTATGGCCATTAATACGTTATTTTCTTGTGTTTATTGGGTTTATTGTTTTAATTGCACAACTAAGATACAATAGTCAATCATCAATTTTTTTACTTGAGGTAGAATGCCCATGTCCTTTTATATATTAGGTTATTTATCTAGAAAACTCTTTAATGTTGGAGTTTTTATGAATGGATGTCCTTTAATTGATTTTTTACATAAGGATATCATTTTTTTATCAATTTAATGAAAATACATTCAACCCTTCGTTAGTTAATGTTGGTCGTCATCATCGTTGCTATTACCACCACTATTATCGCTTCTACTTCTTGCTCGTATTGCAAGCAACCCTTCTCATTTTTCCTTCAATCTCTCTTGAACTTCTTTTCTTAATAGAATGAGGGGAAGAACGAGTGATGCCACTTCATAGTGGGGTGGAGGCAACGACGGGAAAGAGTGGTGATGGCGGAGGTGTCCACTCGTGCCATTGTGGGGGTAGCCTTACTAAGAGAGAATAAAACTATTGTCCATGGGACGATGCTACATTAAAACTACCTCCATCATTGATGCGCTCATCGTGACAAAGAAGAGGAGCATCGGGGATGGAGAGGTGCCACTCGTAATGGAAACAAAGGCATGACGATAATAATGAAAATGATGATGGTTAAGAGCAACGAAAGCAAGACAATCGGAGACGACGACTATAGCGGGTCGAGTATATTTTTATCAAATTAATGAAATAATTCTTAAATAAAAAATAATTAAGGGATGTCATTTGGAAAAAATCTAATATTAAAAACTTTTTAAGGTAAAAAACCCTTTTATATTTCCCAAATAACATCCACATTTCTTATAATCCCTAAAATATCTCCTAATAAGATAATTAGAACAATATCTAATTACATCCTACGGATCGATCCATATGATGAACTTATCTAATTCCCTAGTTATAGTGTTCCTAAATAAGCCTATAATATTTTTTTATTAATTATAATTTTATTTAAAGATACAACAATCTTTATATTTGGTAATTCTTATTCCACCTCTAATATGAAAACCTGTTTAAAATTTTATTTTGAGTTCATTTGTGTTAGTTAAATGTTTTTTAATATAATAAATTAATAATATAGATAAATTTATTTAAAAAATATTTTAATCATAAACTTATATATAGAATTGAATAGGTCCATAGCATAGTGTTATAGATCGATCCATAACATAGTATTAATCATCACATGATTTGATGATACGGTACTCTAAATAATCTGTGACCACTTAACCCATCACATCTTTTCATCCATAATTCCATTCAAATTCTCAAGTCTAATCTTAGCTTCTCTCCCAGTCCTGAGATCAAAATGAAGAGAAACTGACGGCATTTCATCGCAGTATCAGTGTGTCGATTGAATTGATGCCACAACAACCTAAAGTAAGTTCTACCCCTTCTTGAATTAAAAGTCATTATGAATCCTATGCCAAAGAAACAACAGCAGCAACACAGGTAGTGATGTATTGATCTAGTTGTCTAGCGTACTAAAAGAGCCTACTTATCACTGAGAGAGTATGTTGTTGGTAATCCAAAGGTGAAGTTCCAGCATCTATAACTCCAAAAGAGGCATAGCACTGTTTGGGGAGATGGTCTACAAAGGGAACATACAAGTGTAGGCTTGCATGCCAACCATCATGTTGCAGCTAATTAACTATCATGCAGACTTTGCTATGAGCATTCATGCATGTCTAGGTTACTTTGATGGGAGAACTGCCAACAGTAAAGTCTAATTTCCATTCAGAATTATGGAAAACCTTGTCATTCTACAGTATAATTATTTGGAACGACAAAAGAAACTTTTATTATGTCTAATAGAAAGGAATAAAAGAACCATAAAAAGAAAACCAAAGTAGCTACAAAACTTGACACAAGATTTGCATGGCTGATTAATGGAGTATACTAAATTTTAGTCAGCAGGAGCCAAGTGGAGAAGCACACATCAAGTAAACCAAGACAATACTACTCCATGCAGCATTCAGTCTTCTCCAGTGAACTCACATGGAGTTATCTTTTATGGTCTGTAGACTGTAGTCATACACTGGTAGTAAGACCCTGCCCCTCTTTTCACCTGCTCTCTTTCTGCAAAAGAAAACTGAGTGAAAACACAAGGAGAGCAGCACTTTCTGAGGCCATTGACCTTGCTGTGGACAGCCATGATCAAGGGAGACACCTTCTGAAGCTTGAGGAGACAGAATCATAGGGCTTGATGCCAAGAATGATGGGCACAACTTTTGTGCTTGCAGCAACCAGTGGTGGACTCCACCCCAACCCCTCCTCCCCCCAAGCTTTACCCCACCCACAAGATGATGATGAAGAAGAGTCATGGGCAGGTCCCAAGACCACCATGTCCATGGTCACAAGGGCTCACTCAAGACAAGCAAAGAGGAAACCCTAGAAATGTTCCTTCAGCAGGCTCCCAATCATAGGTGAGCAAGCATGATTGGATTAGCAAGAACAAGATAATAACTTGTGTGGTCCTCTTTGCTGGCATATGAGCAAAGACCAGCAGCATCTTGGGTTTCTCGTCTTTCAAACCCTTCCAGCCCTGTGGAAGGAGATCTATTCCTTTTATTCTTGTTGTTGTTGGATTTGTGTAGGCCAAGGTTTTAGTCAACATTCTTATGTTGTATGGGGCTTATCATAGTTAAGAGAGGGGGTCATATATTTCTTGGTTTCTGAGTGAATTCTTCTGGTGAGCAGCATTGCTCTAGATGGACATTATGTTCACTCTGATGGATATTCCCTACACTTTATGTGACTTGTGGACCTTGTTCTCCATAGGCACAGAGAACTTTAGCCTTGTGGCCCATTGAGAGAGTGACAGGTGATCCCTAAAGTTAGAGGGTGGTGGCTTCCTGTCCCAAACAAAATTAGTTCTCAGACACACACAAAATAAGAGAGAGAGAGAGAGCGAGAATTGACATAGTACAGCTTAATCTATTCTCTTTTTGGAGGGAGGGGGAGTACTGCCTCAACTTACTGCATATGTAGGGTGCCATTATGCTGTTCTTTCTCAAAAGTATAAAGAGTCAGACACTTCTGTTGATAACTTGCTGCAACAGGAATGCAAGAATTGATGCTCTCATGAGGAAGAGAGAGAGAGAGAGAGAGAGAGAGAGAGGGTTTTGTTGGGTTCACATCAAGGACACTAAACAAGTAGGGGTTCCATCTTGGTAGGGTTGCTAAAACATCCTCAAGAACTGTTCTGAATGAAGAGCAATTTAACTCCAAAAGATTTCTTTTCCTGAAATATGCTGTCCTGAATCCTAAGATGATGTCCTTTCTAGGGGTGTTGATGGAACATACCTTGGTAATTAGATTAGACAAAGACTCCAACTTTTAGATATAGCTTCTCATTCTTCATCCAATATAATCCTAGGCATGTACTATACTTCAAAATTCATGCATATAATACATTTTAAATCTAATAACATTCAAAATATTTGGACTGAATACAAGATTTGATTCCAAAATCTTCATACCAACCATCAAAGTTTTTATTAGATAGGATGATTGATCCCCAAAAAATTTATTGAATAAAATTTCAAATCCTCAACATTTATAATGTATTCAAAACACTGTCTATTCCAAGTATAATATTATCTCCACACTTTTGTTATCTCTGAATTTATTATAGTGAAAGTTAAATCTTGTTCACTAATGAGAACATAATTAATCAGAAAGAAAAGAGAAAAAAAAAGCTATGATAATTTATTTTCAGTTGGATTTTGATGACCTAACAAAATAATTGTGTCAAAAGTTGAAGGAGAAGATGTGATCAATCACAAGACTTGTCCCAACATGGTGGAATTATGCAGTAAAAATACACTGACATATTTGTCACTTTGCACTTGAGACAGTTTAAAGGACTTTGCTGTGCCAGTCTCTTATCACCTTTGTGTTGGAGTAAAGAGGGGCACATACTCAAGATTAATCATTGGCTCTCCTTTACTTCACCAGATTCAAATCAGTGTTTTTTTTTTTTGAAAATTTTGCTTATATATATATATATATATGTATATATATGTATATATATGTATATATATGTATATATATGTATATATATGTATATATATGTATATATATGTATATATATATATGTATATATATATATGTATGTATGTATACATACATATATGTATGTATACATACATATATGTATGTATACATACATATATGTATGTATACATACATATATGTATGTATACATACATATATATATGTATATATGTATATATCTAATCTTAAAATTTAAAAAAAAACCAATATTTCATTGTAATTAATCATCATAGTCAGTTGATTCTTGACATATTAATAAATAGCTTTGAAAGTCAAGCTGACAATAATACTCCCTTCAGATATATTAATAAATATGAATCAAATAATTGATGAAAATAAGACATGATATTTTTCATATTTAAATTTTGGTTTGCATATATGAAATATTTAAATATTCAAAGAAATATAAATACAAATTAGGACAGGTTTCTCTAGGCATTTCCTTATGTTGTAATTAAAATTTTAGACTAAATAACCTGAGATTATTTTTCTATTTTTGTAAGGTGTCTCTAAATTTCCTGTGGTAATGAGCTAATATTTGAATAATTGTGATGAAAATTTTCCTATCATTATATTCGAATATTTGTATAAATTTATACTGGGATTAATTTTCTACTATCAACTTAACCTCCATAATGGGTAAGATATCACATTCACTGCCCCTCTGATCCATATTTTTACCCCTTAATTATCATTCATTAAGCGAGTAAATTACCTTCCCAAATACTAAGTAATTAAAGCCCTCGCCAAAAGATCGCCGATCTTTTTTCTCCCCCGCCTCCGTTATAACGTCCCAACTCCCGTTAACTGGCAATTTGTCGTGACGCGGCACTTCCCGAGAGCTACTTGAACCGGCCCTTCCTCCTCAAAGGAAGAGAAACCGAGAGCGGGCGCGGAAGAGAGAGTGTGAGCTCCAAAGGCGAAAGCTTTAGGGTTTTCGTTGCCCACTATTCGCTTCTGGTGCTCTCTACCCTGTGAGGAAAAGGCGGTGGAGGTAGGCGCTTGCGGAGCCGTGGTGGTGCGAGCTCTGGTCTAGTTCCTCGACCGCCAACATTCCAGGTAACTACCAGTTCTTGTATTGTACTCGATCCCTAAATTTGGAATCTTTTCGAGTCATCTTTTGCCGTGTCTCGACGAATCTTTGTATTCTTGTGCTAAATACTGATGTGAGCTTCCTTGGGTTTGGCTCGTTTCTTCTCTTGTACATTCTGTCTACCAAGTCCCCAAACTGTTGGAGGATGACGTGAACGGAAAAGAGCTTCAAGTGAAAATTGATCCTCTTCAAGTACTGTTCAACATTTGTCTTGATCGATGCTTATTACATGTTTTGGTTTAGAGAATGATGATTGAAAGAGAATATTCCTTATCCGCTAAAATCTTGTTTGCTTTACGCTTCATAAATGGCTTTCCTCTTTCTAATACAATAAAAAAATGCTCTCCCTGGTAAAATGTTTTTATTTATTGCCCCGGCAACAGTGAGACAAAACATTGTGGTTCTTCCTGAAGCCGTAGGTTCTTGTCATGCCAGAAAAGTATTTTCTTGCACCTCAGCCGTCACTAATTTTCCTTCAAAATTCCAGATCTAACAGACATTGTCGGAGAAGGGTAACTATCAGCTGTAAATATGGCTTTGTGTATTTGGATTACTCTTTTCTTAATTTATGATTGTGTGTGTTCTCTTTTTTTGGAACCATAATTTAGTTCAGTATTTTCTGTCATACTTGGCGTAAGTCCTTGACGAGTACATTTTTTTTGGATAATAAAGTGTATTTCTGGCTTGATTCTCCAGGACTAATGTTAGTGTGTTTCCTCGTTTAGCAAATATTTAGCTTTCAAGTGCTCTTCATATTATTTTGAGATACTAGGTGGTTTAGATAATGCCCACCTGGATTTACTAGATTTTGTCTGAATATATATCCGTTCAGTAGGTTCTTGTTACTTGTGGATTAAGCTTTGTGATAATTCAAATTGACTAACAATCTATGTCTAGTAGTTACAGAAATAGTTGTTCTTTCAGACTTGCCAACGTCTTCTATTTCTTGCCATGGAGAAAGAATCTTGGAGCAGTTGCAAGTGAAAGTATATATGCCATTACTATCATGCTTGTAGTAGTTCTTGCTCAAAATCTAAGTGGAACTATACTTCTGTTTCCTGATCAATTGTTGTTTCTCGCCTGTCTTCTTGGTTCTACATTTAAGGAGGCTGTAATATAAGTGTGATTGGTTGCTTGTCTTCAAGTTTTGTCACGGACCTTATGGATGTCTCAATGACAAAGACAAAATTAAAGAGATAACAGAGGCCAATGAATAAAAGTTAAAGCCAAAGTGCCTCTCTCCTTTTCTTCCTATGTATTGAAGCATGTCTTAAAAACATAATTTTAATCATGTCTGATGCTGATCATGATTCACTATGGTACAGGCATAGCATATTCCTGAAAGTTAGAGTACTGATCAAGCCAAGTTTTCATTTCAGCTAATGGAAGGTGCAGCTGGAGATTTCCAATATGTAGATGCTCATGAAACAATGGATGTTCATTATCAGCATGGAGCATTTGGTCTTACGAGTTCTTCTGGAGATGCTTATTCCTGTTATCACAACACTGACACATTCCATGAAGCCTGTGGTGAACAGTTGACTAACTTGGATCCCACTGGAGGACCAGTTCAGTCTCCCAGTATATTCTATCTGGGATCGTATCATGGTTCTGGTTCTCATAAAGGCAGCATGATTCCAACTTCTTGTTCCATTGGTGCTTCTAGGGATTTCTGCAACTCATTACAGAAGACACCCATCATGAGTAGAGATTCCTCATTTTATTTCACAGAACAACACAACACTTCCACTCTCCAAGCTCAAGTTCAGGTTTCACCTAACACCAAATTGCTATCTATCTCCCATCGTCCACAAAATTCAGGTGCAACATACTTGAAGACTGGTAATTGCTCCAACAGTATTATTACTTTTCCAATGATGGAGCAAGGGCTGTCATCCGGTATGAGGATTCACTTATTTCATTCAATTTCAAGTTTCCCTTTTCACAGTATGATTATATTTGATGAATTTTGTGCAGATGCTCCATCATCTAGCAAATTTGCATTGCATGATTCCATTAATAAAGCAGAATCTTCCGAGGTTGTCAAAGCTTTCATTTATGGTGCAGAGAGGTTACATTTGCCTTTGAGCGATCTATCATGTGGAAAACCTTCTGGCCTAATGCACTCTTTTGAGTCAGAATATCTAAATGATTTTGTCACTAATCATCCAGACATGACACCTGAAAGTTCTTCATTGTTCCATCCTGAAGATGTCCCGGTGACTCGCCTATGTGATCAACAACCTGAGCATGTTATGGATGATGCGGCCATGCAAATCAATCAGAGTGTGCTTGATGTGATGTCTGTGTCATCGTGCTTGTCTGAAGGTGATAAGAGTGGCTGCAACATGGTTACCGGGATAAATGTGAAGCAAGCTGAGAACTCCATTTTAGCTGCAGTTAATTCGCTGGTGTTAGAAAGTAAAAGTAAGGAGAATTCTTCAATACCACCCACTCAACTACTTTCTGATAATGACCAGTTTAATGGCATGGAGTTAAATATGAGGGCAAACAGCCTTGTGCAAGAATTGTGGGATGGTGTAACAATGCCAGTTGGCCATAACAGTTGTTCAGATATGAGTGCTGGTATTTCAGATTGCTACTCAGCAATGGAGACGGGCTCAATTCATGGCACTGATAAAGGGCTTTTCTCAGAGTCTGGTCTTCAACAATTATTGGATGCTATAGCTGGTGACCATTTTAGTAAAACTTCCGCTTATAGATCTAGTGCTAATCCTATTTCTGGTCTTAATTTGGAGCATCAATTTTCTACTAGTGTGGGTGGTCCTTCGGTGTACATGAATCAGGTTCCTTCGGTATGTGCTCCTTTCATGAACGGTGCATCTGATGTGCTGTTGCCTCATTGTAACCCTGAGATTGTTCATGGATCTGTGAAACAAGCACCGTCAAATTCGAACATACGCTTATGGATTGATGATAGCTGCAGTATAAACACAGAGAGTTCTGTGCTGAGTCAGTCCAAGAAGCCTGAAGAAGCTGCAAAGGTTAAGAAAAGGGCAAGACCTGGTGAAAGTACTCGGCCAAGGCCAAAAGATCGTCAGCAGATACAAGATCGCCTGAATGAGTTAAGAGAGATTGTGCCTAATGGTGCAAAGGTATACCTCACTTCTTCTCTTCTTTTTTTTCAAATTTCCTGAAATTTCGACTTCATTTTTTTCATCATATAGCTTTCTCTTGTACTTACAGTGTAGCATTGATGCTTTGTTGGACAAAACAATCAAACATATGCTATTTTTGCAAAGTGTCACCAAGTACGCAGACAAGCTCAAACAAGCTGATGAGCCCAAGGTACAAACTAGTTATATTATTATTTTAGATATATATGCTGCAGAGCAGAGTTGATACACATGTCTTTTTGTTCCCTCTTTGATTCATCATGTGAAATTTGTAGATTATCAGTGAGCAGAGTGGTGTTGTTTTAAAGGACAATCCTGGTGGTGCCAGTGGTGGTGGTGCAACGTGGGCATATGAAGTTGCAGGGCAAACCATGGTCTGCCCAATAATAGTTGAGGATCTCACACCCTCTGGCCAAATGCTAGTTGAGGTAAATATCATTGAAAGCAAAATTCTAAGTTCTAATTGCAACTATCTGAGAACTGGACATATTGTGTCCGGCAGATGGTGTGTGAAGACCGAGGACTCTTTCTTGAGATAGCAGATATCATACGTGGATTCGGCTTGATAATATTAAAGGGTGTAATGGAAATTCGTGAATGTAAAATATGGGCGAGGTTCTTGGTTGAGGTAGGTTTCACCTGAAGCAAGAACAAATAAACTTTTACATGCTCTATATATTGCATGTTCATTAGTGACAACTATGATTCTATTCCACTGTAGGCAAACCGGGAGGTGACTAGAATGGATATATTTCTGTCACTCATTCAACTTCTACAACAAAACAGCTGTTTGCGATCTGGTGATCTGGCAACTAAGGTTGTTAACAAAGGAGCTCCGATGTTCCCAAGTCATCATCAATCTCCTGTCTATTCCAGTTAGTTTATCCGACAGATTGCAGTGATCCATTAGTAGTTCTATAAATGCTTGAAGCCAGATGTATCTCAAGTGCAGCATTTGAAGTTTTGGAGATGAGCGTCCTGCCTTCAGGATGGCGCATGATTGGGGACGCATGACCATTCAATGTTGAGGAAGGCAGCCAGACATGGATGCCACAGAAGATAGATAGGAGGTTTGTGGTGATACATGTGCAGCGATTGAATGTCTAGGCTTGAAGGTGTGGTTCATAGATTTGGCAACGGCATCATGTGTGCACAAAAAATGTCGGTCAGGTGCAACTGTCGTATTTATTTGTTCTAACCATGTAAAGTTGTCAAGTCTCTGTCCTTTAGTTATTAACATAACCTGTTGGAACTATAGAATTTGGTCTTGAACATGTGATTATGTGCTCAATTTCAGTGCTGTTTGCTGGCTTATTCCTACATTCACCAATTATATGTTCCTTGGTGTGATTATTAAGCAGTGAAAGTGTCTACAGTGTTTGACATCAATGAACAAGATTGGAATCCCTGTTATGCGTGCAAAGATAGGAACAAATGCAATCCAAACAATTCATCGTGCGGCTACATAAGATTTTCTGATGCATGCATTTACAAATGCGAATGCATCTACAAATGTCAATACTTTAAACAGTTTTTCCTTCTTTTTTCAGGAATAACATATTTGCATGCACTTATGCAAACGGAAATGGTGATCAGAGAATTAAGTTCCATCAATCGTTTAAAATTTTCCACAAAAAAAAGATTTCTTTTTTCGTTTAACTAAATGGCCAACATTGGCAACAGACACAAAGTACTGATACTCGAGAAACAGACTGAAGCATCCCAAAATGTCTCCACCACATTACAATTAGGAGATAGAATGAGTGACAAATGAATGACCCCATTAGGTCAGCTTTACTTAGCGTGAATAGCCCTATACATCTAAGCTATGTTACTGCAAGTAGAGAACCAAAGACAGCATTTCCTCTATTGTGCGGATACCTCCCAAGTATCTGTCCAATGCCATCAAGTTCTTTGCTTCTTTTTTTTTCTTTGGTTTGATGAGAGAAGTTCAGTTGGTTTCAGGTATCTTTCAAAGGTATTACCTTCGGTTGAATGCTCATCTAGATCTGGATACTCAGCATGTCTGATTCACTATCCTTCTCCTTCAGAGTTGTCCAATCATGTGGCTCTGCAGAAGAAATTATCCACGGTGAAAATTTTGCATGGCAAAAATTGGCCAATCAAAAAGATTGGTTTAGAAAAATTCATGATCATACACAACCGATGAATGTATATTACTTGATTTGTGGGTCTCAGCAACCACCATGAGCCGCCTTTGCAAGACCGAGGCCATGAAAAGGAAAATAGAGCACATTCCAAACATGATACTGATTGGGAAAGCATTTACCTTTAAAACAGCATAAAAACAAAAGTTAGGCATTTGCGGACATAGTTTTCTCATACATAATAACATAGCAATGGTTCTCCTTTATTTGCAAATGCAATTATGATGCAACTAATACAGCAACGATAACTAGAAACTTTCATCTTTTCATATTACGCTGTCAAATAATCACTTTAAATTCATTATAACAGGATATATCTGAGTATAAAGTTTTGATGCTTACGTTATAGAGTATGATACACACAAAAATGTTGAGGGGGATGCGAAAGAAGTTCATAATTGTGCTCCTGGACTCCTCAGGAATGTATTGGGATCTCATCTTCATCATTGATGGCCAAAATATGCCAATACAGGCCTCAAAGACACAGAAACCAAGGAGTTGGACACAACCACTAAAAGATATGCTGCCACCTTTCACGGTAGAAGGAGCTACAAAGAACTGTTTAGCATTATTAGCATTGAAGTCACATACTGACAGACCACAAAAGGAAAGCACAAGGACTATCAAATTAGCACAACCAAGCAGGAGTCTTACGTTAGAGATGAGGGGAAGCAGTAGAGTGAAGGCAGAGACTGCAAAGACAATCTGCATATAAAATTCGACTCTAAGAGTGGAACGGGCCATTAGCCTAGATGCTATGGAGCTTCCCAACATTGAAGACAACATGAGCGTGGCAAAAATAAAGCCATGAGGTATATCCTGATCATTTGGGCTCAAAGCAGGAGTCCACAAGAACACAAAGGTGTACATAGAACCTTCAAAAAGTGATTGTATTGCACCCAGCAAAGCAATTATCTCATCTGTTATAAGCGCAATAATGTCAACAAATGATGGGCCTTGAATCAAGAGGTATTCTTTTGTTGCCAGTATAAGTTATATAACACACTTACCAGCAGCGATGGCCACAGCAGCACCCTTGAACTGTGTAATCAAGTCCTTGCTATTAGAAGGGTCTCCATAGTTTTCACCCCATGATGACAAGATGATGGCCATGCCTATGCCAAGTAAGCATGCAGCAGCATCAAATGGAGCCACGGGACCAAATCCTAAGTTATCAGCCAATAAATTGGCAAAAAGTCCAGAAACAATGGCGATAAGACCATTGCCAAGAAATATAGCCTTTGAGAAAGTCACTGACAACCACTGTGGATCAAAACCTCTCTGCGGAAGTGAAACAACCACTTCATCAGAACATGAACTCGTAAACTTTGCCATTACACAAATTTCCAGTGTAGTAGTGCCTCTAGTTATTCTAATGGATCAGCAGTTTGGATCCCGTTCTGGGGATGTCAATTCATATCTTGCACACAAAACAAGAAAATTGATTTCATAGGCATCCTATAACAAAAAGCCTAGTCAGATTCTGTACCTTAACCGCTGCAAAATGTTCATTCTTATTCTTCTGATTGCATTTGAGGTATTTCTCCTGGTTTTACATCACCTATGATACTGGAAACAGTTGGATCTAGAAGTCATTTCATTAAATCTGGAACAAAAATAGTAGATATGATTCATGATGCTTATTGGATTCAAAGTCTTGACCTCTGATTGATCACACTATGTTTTAACCATTAGGGTACTTCTGCAGATACGCATAAAGAACTCTTTGGATAGCAAGGAAAAAAATGAATCTCTTTTCAAGGATCCATAGACAATTGTGACTCAATGACAAATGAGTTCATTTTCATAGAATAGTTTCTGCTACCTACTTTGGGTGATAACAATTTCCTACTTTTCATCAATGTGACATGTGAAAACTGCTAATCGAACAACAACAGTGTAATATCCCAACGACATGAAATTTGTGAAAACAAATCTAAAAGAACAAAAAAGGAAGGATCATGTCCAATAAGTGAGAGTGTGTTCATGTATAAGGATATCTTATAGAAAAGAATATAAAAAGAGAGCCATGTCTACTGCATCTGAGAATGGCAAGTTTCCTTGGAAGAGACAAATAGGCATGTGTATCACATTCCTACAAAATCAACACATCATCTTATGAATAGTTTCAGCTTTCAGCAAAACCTGAGTATATCCTGTAAAACTAGAGCGACACAACCTTAACGCTTAGTTAGTAGTTGGTCATCCTCACCTTGTTATGCTCTGCAACAAGCCATGACTCGAAAGCCGAGAAGAGCAGCGACGTAGCAATCCCTCCCAGTATTCGACCCAACAGCAAAACTTTGTATTGTGGAGAATGCTTCGTGATGCAGCTTAGAATGTAGGTTATGCAGTAGGTGATGCAGGCCCTCTTCCGACCGCTGCATCCGATTGAAGAATTCCCCGACGTTATTCATAAAGAACTCGAGTAATTGATGAGGGAAAAAAAGGGCAAAAGAATCGACAAGAGAAGTTTCACCGTTTGTCAGCCAAAGATCCAACGATCGTCCCGAACAGCATAGAAGATCCAAATCCTGCAATGAAGAGCTGCCCGATGTCTCCCTTGTCGAAGCCATACTGACTGTAGAGATAGTAGACGTAAGGACCCTGCATCCAATCACCGGCTGAAAACAACCAAATCAAGATCAAGATTAGTCCAATTTCCGGTCTGACATGCACAATTTAACCGGCAATTGAAGCCGATATCATCCGATAACAAGATCGGCGAAGTCCAGATGATCCTAATTGCTATCCGATAACAATAAGCGATCAAGATCCTGCAGCGCCATAACATCGAACACCACGCAAGAAACCACATGGCCACAGATTGAGCAAGCGTGAGAACCGTAAGAAAAGAACGAAATCGAGAAGTCTAAAGAAGCTTTCCGATCCCGGTGTCAATGTTTCGGGGATTAGAGGCAAGATCCAAGGGGAGGGTGGACGAACCCATCATGAGGGAATAGACGAGGCAGTAGTTGTTCTTGAAGGCATTGAATGCGGAGGAGGTGGCGATCCGGTCCTTGCTCGTCTTGCTCAGCTCCATCACCGCCGCCACTGCGGCGAGCCCGCCGAACACCACGTAGTAGAACACCTCCATCGTTCCTTCCTCCTCTTCTTCTTCTTCGGCTTCCTCCGCTCAAAAGTTTGGAGAGAGGGACTGCGAGCCAAGCGATGGGCTTACAAGGTGCTCATGTCGTTACTATGGTAGCGGAAACGCTGGTCACGCCCAATCTATGACAAATAGCATCATAACTATTTAACGGTATTCGAGCCAATAATGTTTGTGCAATAAAAACAATTACATATTGTTTATACATATTATTTTCATGATATAATAATATATTATTACGTATTTGATAGAATATTAATGCTTTGTTATCCTCATCTAAAACCTATTGAGATGACTCGACATGGACGACTTCCAACTCTTCTTTGGATAATGGAGACTCCCATTTTCAAGTCCATAATGAAAGGAAAATAATATAAACAGATATTATTTATCATTATTTGTACGGAATATGTAGGGAATGTCACACAAGTTTTAAATCATTATTTATACGAACATATAATACGCAATCAATACATCTTATCGAAGTCGTAGGTTTTTGACCATAGAAAGCTGAAGATTGATAATATAAGATGATAACCATAAATAACCAAATAAACATCATTATCAAAGTTCCAAAACAATTACTAGTGCATCTCGAATCTTAAAACCAACTACTCCACCAGTAAATCATTATTTGTACGAACATCTAATATGCAATCAATACATCTTATCGAAGTTGTAGGTTTTATGACTAGAAAAGCTGAAGATAGATAACATAAAAAGATAACCATAAAGTACCAAATAAACATCATTATCGAACTTCCAAAACAATTACTAATGCCTCTCGAATCTTAAAACCAACTGCTCCATAATTAATTCTAAAAGACAGTAAACACCTAATGCTTTAACGTCTGGGCATGTTGCTTAAATGGACCATTTTACAATTCAAAAGTTTTTGTAAAGAAAAAAATGCTCGGAGAAAATATAAGATGGAAGGCATATTAGGTTGGCCTTCTGACAAGATCACATTAGTCTTGACTTTGAAAAAACTGCTCAATCAATATGATCCAAGAGCAGTTCTTGCCATAGCCAAAGCTCCATCGTAAGTTTGATTTCCGCCGATGAATCCACCCATATGGACAAAGACACAACCAGGAATGCCAGACTTTTCTGAAAGCTCATCATCTCTCAAGCCCCTCCAAGGCAGTGGGAGGGGCCTTCGGCTCTCGAACATGTCTGGAGAAACCGCCACAGCTTGGACTCGCCAACTCTTACTCCTTTCATCCTATAAATTAAAGATCCAAAAACATGTTTAGGCAACAGATTTTGTGGCAGAGGGGTATTATGATTGTCTGCAGAAATAATGACGGTAATTTGACATATCTAAAACTATTTTAAAGCAAAGTGTGTCATGTGCCTCATAAAATTCAAGCAAAGTTTGTCTCTACCGAGACATCCGATTGGTTAGTGCATTGTTGCTCGGGTTCAAGTTCATATGTGAGCATCATGTATATCATTTAATGTAATAATTTTTTTTTGTATTTTTTTTTTAATTTAACCAACTCTCATTCAACTGCACCAAGCAAGACCAAAAAGATATATTCATTTTGGAAATCAAAGTCCACAGGCACGTCTAACAGCTCCACAAATGTGAAGATGTCTCCTAGAATGTCAAATTTTTTAACAAGACTCCTGAAATTATGAATAAGCCAGCCAACCTGGCATCATGCTGATAACTCAAACTATACCAAATCTTTTGCTGTAAGGAGAGAGTATAAAAAGACATACCTGAAAAATAACATATTTAATCAGAGGATCGATTTTCAGTTCCTTCTCAAGCTCAAATAAATGAAGTTTCCACTGCAACAAGATAAGAGTAAATAGCAAAACAATCAGTATAATTAACATCCAAGTTCTCGGAAGCTCCATAAAAACAACTAAGCAACAGAGTCGATTGCCACAGGATTGAAGACACAAACAAACAACATAACTCATTACAAAGTTGCACACTAGTTTACCATAAAGATCATATTCTTAGTAGACATCAGCTGCTCATAATCATTCATCATCATCTGTATTAAGTTGGTCCAGGCAACTAGGTCATCTCTTAAACCAACATTCAATATCCAACTCATGTTAAAACAAATACCAAGGAGATTAGCCTAAATCAAGCTGCTGAGACCAAGATCAACCAATGAAAATTTTGACTGCAATGCATGAACAGACTGAGCATGAGCTGGTCATTCAGATGCAGATGAATCTGGATACTAGTCTCACAAGTTCCACCATGTAGATATTCTAATTCTCAGGTGTTCTTAATTAAATTTATACATAAACATACTGCAAAGCAACATTTATCCAAATCAGGCTAGTCCAATGGGCACATAGAAGACTTGCACAATTTACCACAAATTTTTATCCCAGCCAGACCCATCAGACAAGGTCCATGACAGTTCAGTCTAAATTTAAGTTGGGTCAATCAGTATACAATCTGACAAGCACCGCGGATGGTTAGGTTTGCACCAAGCCACAACTGGCATATGATCTTAAAGAATCCAATTAGACCAGTTTGAGAATATGTGAAATCAGTGTCAGGGGGATTTCATTATGGGAAGCATAGTTATCAAGGCGTGCTCGCCTAGGAACTCGAGAAAGGCAAGGCGAGGACCGAGCACCTCCAGAAACCCTCAGGTGAGGGTTTTGGTTAGGCACGACCCAAGCGCATGCCTGAGCCGAGGCACCTGAGTTAAATCCGTTGGCTCTCATTTTAATTTGATCTGGAGCTTCGGATTTCAACTGGCGCACCTGAGTTAAACACATTGGGTTCGAATTTCGAACCAAATGACTTGGTTAAAACTATTCAGCAAAGTAAAACCACAGTTAATTTCCTGATAGTTCTATTTTTCTGCTTTTTTCACTCAATTCAGGAAATGATCTGATCTTTATCCACCTCCTGCTGTGTCTGCATGCATCTAAATTCGACCCATAGTTCACACCTAGAAGGACACCTTAGCTCTCTGCTGGGCATTAGTTTTAACGTGAATAGGACGAATTGGAGCCATTTAGCCCAATAGTTGCACCTGATTTGATTTACCAGCAGTAAGGCTGATCAATTGGATTAAATCAAAGGAAGGGGGTAAAATGCTTCTGAAAGGGCTGCACACGCAAGCTTTGCATTGTACCAATCAATTGAAAGCTGGTCCCTCACCAATTCGGTAAGAATCAATGCGACAACATAAAATCCAATCCAGTGAGACTAGAGTCGAGAAATTGCATAAGTAATAGAAGATTTCTACACAAGAATAAGAAAGGAAGGTATCTCAAAGGCCTGATCATATTTACATCTCTAGATCACTCAGCACTAGTATCATTCTTCAAGATAAGGTGCAAGACACTGAACATCCCTCAACATAAACTAAAGTGCTTTGACGTGAAAAAGTCCCACTTTCTGGAGTAAACAAACTCCAAAAGCTGCAGACAGCTATAAAAGCTTTAGCAATTTCAATTCTCCAAATCTCCCTAGAGTAGCTTTCAAAATGATGAATCAAACTACTCCCTCTGGTTTAAAGTTACAGAAGTCCACGCAGGAACTGTGGGAGCAGTGTGCATGCATGTAAAATGTTGATTGAGACTGATTGAGACAAGAAGGCAAACCAACTGAGAAAAACAGTGTGCTAGCCCAACACAAATATTGGCAAGCCCTCATATATGCAGAATGCAAGTATGTCATCACACCTTAAGCACTTTGTTTACAAACCCAATGTTTGTGTTGGTTGGAAAACCCAAAATCAAATTTACAGCTCAGGGTAGGCAATTGTATAATCAACAAAAACCATATTATAGCAAGCATGATGATGACAAATTATGTATTTAAGAATTGTTTTTCAACTAACTTCAGACCTACTGAAGTTTGAAAATGTGATGTCACAGATGGTAAACATCAGTTTTAAACACCAAAAAGGGATAATTAAGACTCACAAGTATGAAATAGCAACCAGCAAAGCTATAATTGAGACAAAATAACTTAACAAACTTACAGGGCAAAATCTATCCAAAACCATAATTTCACCACTGGGATCAACGTTGCATCTTGAGGCTAGACATTCAAGAACTATGGATCTTGCAGGTAACCATGATCTAACATGAAACCGAACACTCTGGCAAAATATGAAGGAAAGGAAAAGGTTTGTTATTCATCCAATAAGTTATCAACAATTACTGAAGAAGTTAAGAATCATCAAAGAAGGCAACATATAAGCATCTAGATGACGAAAAATAGTGCCCATGACAAGAAGATAGCAGAACTTAACCTCCAAAAATTCACCACCAGCTAGCATCATTGCCTGCTGAAAAGCCGCGTTCTCCTTCTCAGATGACTGGTCAGGATCCATCCAATCCAAATTTAGACGACCAACTCTTGAAGACAAATGTGTGTTGTTCACATACTTTGGAGGCTGATCTGTGTCATATTGATTGATTCCATTGTCAATGGCATCAATTGCCTGTAAAATGTATGAAATAAAAAATACAAATTAGTTTATCATGAATCAAGAATCACGTAACAACTATGAGCAAAGCTGCATAACACACAGGTAAACTTCAAACAGTAAATGAAAAATGTAAAAAACTCATCTAAATCAAAGCACATCACACTTGCATATCAGAAAGAAGTACCTAAATCAATTACAGGCCAACTGTCAAATTCTGTAAATTTTAGAAAATAAGAATTATTAATTTGTAATTGGTGGCAAAATATTTTCATCTAGCAAAACAGTACCTTGTAATATTAATCTACCAACTACATAAGATCAAAATGCTGAAGGAATTTCTTAGACATTATAATCATTTTTGCACAAATCGAGAGTAGTATGAAAACATATGTAGGGCTGTGCAAGTGCAAAACAGCAAGTAGCTCAGATAGGGATTTATAAAATCCATAATCAACTATATACAATTCTACATGACAACCTCAAGAGCTTGCACTAGTTATCTTCAAATTCTTTACAAAAATACCAGAACCAAGAATTTACATCAACTGGACTGCCAGGGGCATGCTTGTGCCATCAAGTATCCAGTACAAGATCAGCAGTCACCATAGTCATGTCATGAATTGGAATGCAACCAGGAACTAATTCTAAACCCCCCTGGTAAAAATGGACAAAGTTATAAGTACATGACATTTGGTCCGATTACTACACCTAATCTCTAATCTCAGTCAAAAGTATTGTTTCCATAATATTTTCATCTGTCAGCACATCAATTGATCAAGCTATTTCATCAGAAATGATAAGCCCATTTTTCCAAATTCATTGATGAACCTACTTATGCATCAATATCTTTTTTCCACTGAGAAAGAATGGCAACTTATCAACCTTTGAATCATGAAGATCTAACATTGGAAATATTTATTATATTTACATGGTTTGCAAAACCATACTATACCATTCGAAATGGACCGATCCGATATAGGACTGACACAGGCAGTACATTGGTATGCTTTAGTGTATCATGTATCGGTTCGCTCAGTATGTATCATACCGACAACTAATCAGTACATTAGTATGGTACGGTATTCAAAACCTGGCTTTATAATCATGTATCAATATTGCCTGAGGACATTTAAGCACTCAAAAATGTTGCCTTGTTTAATGCAGATACATAGATTGTCTAGAAGATGCTCATTATAATCTAAATTACATCCCATTGTATCATCTTCCAACCTAGCCAACAGAGAGAAGGGCTTATGTTTGTAAAGAAATCAGAATGAAAGTCAATTGAACAATATACTTTAAGGGGATTTTTAATTTAATAATTCAGAAAGTGCAACCACAATCTGACCCACAGAGAAAGCACAACATCTACTAGCACAAAGCTTTGCAAATGATATGCACACATGGAGGGAGGGAGGGAGAGAGGGGGAGAGAGAGAGAGAGAGAGAGAGAGAGAGAGAGAGAGAGAGAGAGAGAGAGAGAACATTGGTTCACTGAAGCAAGAACATTAAAAATAGGTAGAAACCATAATTTGCTTAATAAAAATCAATAACCCTTCTTTGATAGTAAAACAAGGATATCCAAAACGTATAAAAGGGACAAGGAAGAATAACGTGTAAATATTCTATTGTACCTCAACGAAGCTTTTGTACACAGAAAGATACAGGCGTTGTACATTCTCGTGTCCCTCATCAAGCTGAAGCTCCTTTGCAATTATCTCCTTGCCATAATGCTGCAATTAAAAATGTAAAAGTACATCAATTAACCGGAACATTGTAAAAGATAAATTACACCACATATATACAGATAGCTCATCAGATTAAGAAGAGCATTGAGTGCATGACAGCAGATGTCCTCACAAAGGCCGACAAGTTATGTGAGAGCTAACAGTATCTAATTTCTATCCAAGTTTATCTGTTAAACTGACACCCATGATCAGCTTGCCCAAGTGGCCTATTTTATGCTTTCACACTGGATGACAGCCTGATTGGGCAGGGAACTAGCAATGAGTCCTTATTCCTTCTCAAAATATGAAGTTGACACACTTGTTCCATTCCAGACAGGACCAGCTCCCAGTGCATATCAGCTAACCTTTGCAAACTTTCATCACCACATATGGTTGTACTATATTGGTGGTTAGAAGTCCAAGGAAAAAGATTGAGTCCTGATAAAATTGTAAAGACTAGGTAGAGACTCTTACTGAGGATCTCTTTTCAATTTTTGGTGTGTACAAATCAAGGATTGTTGTGTTAAATGGCACATGTCGCATACACACACCAGAAAGGAAGCGGCACATGTGATGTTGACGTGGACCAAAAGGTGCTGATATTTGTTTAAACCAACTTTTGGACACAGAATTATGCCGTGTCAAAAAGATTTCTTCGTATGTCCCCTCTCCATGAAAATCCTTGTACCAGTCAACACTTATCTAAATGGAAGAGTTAATTTTATGGCAGCAAAGATAAATATGTATATATACTACCTTATAGACAAGTCCAGCACTACTAAGCTTGGTGTTGAACCCATGGCCAAAAACCTCGCTAAATCCGTTTTGATGATGATCATAACGGTCTCGGATAGGATCATAAACACCACCAACATCGAGCACTGCATCTAGTGTTTCAAGAAGCTGCAAATTGTAAAACATATTAACACAGAATAAATACCTTTCTACCATATGAAATCCAAGAGAAAGACTTTGTGAAAAATGAAATAGCAAAGATAAGTAGATGATAGAAGCATGAACAGATATTTCTATGCACATAAGAATGCCACTTTTATAACCATTCCTAAATGTGGTAGCCCACAGTATTAGACTGACAAACTCAAGCACCTACTGTGCCCTCACTCGGTATAGCAAAAGCTTGAGACTCCCTTCCAGTTTTAATAAATTTTAGGATGTTAATTTGAACCATATGAACCGAAACTATAACTAATACACCCTCCAATTTAAGTAAATTTCAGACTGTTGCTGTCGAACCATCATAGCTTAAACTGAAACCAATCTGGTGGAATGTTCATATCTGTTACTTACCTATTTGGAATAAGTAATGATGAAGTTAAGTACAACAAGTTGCTCAAAAACTCCTCGTTTTGTGTGCTTTCTTCCTTTTCTTATCTTTTATTTTTTCTTTTTTCTTATAGCTTCTTCTAATTCAAAATCGAAGAGCAAAAGTGCCGTCGACATCAATTTTCCTAAAGACAGAAACGAAGAGAACAAAACAAACGAAGAACAGCGCACCTGGGAGTCTCTAGTTCGGACGACCTCGGCGCCGGAGAACTTTTCAGTGAGGCGAATCAAGAAGCAGCCGAGGGCCTCATCGCAGTGGAAGCTGCCGTTGTGGGTCCCGACCCTCTTGCGGTTTGGGCTTGGGGATCCGGTGGAGAAGGCCGCGGGAGACCCGGGGTTCCTGGAAGCGTTGGCAGCGGCCATGGGAGACGCGTAGTAGGTTCGGCTCCTCAACACTATCGGCCGCCACCAACACCCTCGGATCGTAAACATAGCGGCGCTCGCCCTCCCTCCCGAAGCGGGCTCTTAAAGTGCTTTAGAAGCACCGCCATTAACGGCCCGGTCCGTTTAATTCGGCCCACTCAGTAAAACGAGTCACACGACGACGTTCTTGACCCGCCGGTTCGGTTCGATTGGGATCGGTTAGTCTTAATTAGCCGAGTTATAGCAGATCAACCTCCCTAATACATGTTTATGATATGGGTTCTATTCAAGATTTATATTTTACTTTTGGATATATATATATATATATATATATATATATATATATATATATATATATATATATATATACTTCCGATTCTATCTGTCATAATTTAGTTCTCTACATCTCTTTACCACACTATAAAATATTATTACATACACTACCATCAATACACATCACACAACAAATCATATCATATCACTTCAAATAATCTCTCATTTAATATAAATCAATCACTTTAAATAATTATCATTTATCGAGTCATTTGAATCTTTTACTAATTTAAGCATCAGATAAATTTTACGGACCGATCAAAGTATCATTTTATAATATTTAGATTTATAGATTATCCGATCCTATCAATAATGTTTTTAAGATAAGGATCACGATCAAATTTGAGTCACCTTACAGATTGAATGGCTAGAATAAACTGCAACACTAATCAAAGGTTAAAAAGTAAAATTATTGTAGCCATCTCCTTGGGGTCATCAGGCTGTACCGATCAAGATCTATCAACAATCTTAATTATTTTGATGAACGTGAGTCGAAATTAATATTTAGGTCTCTCTCTCTCTACGGGTGTGCAGTACAAGTTTGGAGTCACTACTGATAACTAGCCATACCTTTGTGGCACACAGCGCATGACTCCACCGAAGATGAGGTACGTGTGACTTGGTCATAACACTTGTATGCCAATAACACAAGTTTGCTTCAACATGATCAACTCAGAAACTGCACATAAGAGAGAGAGAGAGAGAGAGAGAGAGAGAGAGAGAAGAGTTATCAACCCTAAAGCAATAGCTTGGTTCCACAGTTATAAGTACTTGGTACTGAAGACAAAAAGGATCCCTCAAGGACAAGGAAACATGATAAGAGTTGAGATTCCATCACCACCTGTGGCCGTGGCCATTTTTGTCGATCTTTTTGAACATGCAACAGTAGAAAGTGGCCATTGTTATTAAATATTAGGATACATGGAATGAGTTGATATCACTTTCGGTGGCCATGGTTTTCATCTTTCTCAACAGGTAAGAACAGTCACTTGGTGGCTATCTTTTCAAGGACTTTGAAACATGAAAAGACTTCGATTCCATCACCATTCATTCTATGTCTACTGTACATACAGTTTACATTTTCTTAACATCATGATCCAAAGTTTTGAAGTTTACAATACCTGAAACTCCCAATATTTCAGATGGAATTAAACTGTTTTTCTCTGTGTTTTAAGTAATTTTGTAGGCATGCAAATTATCGCAAGAAAAGAATTATAAAGGATTATTATTGATAAGACATATTATGGTACCATCCTCTAATCATATATTAGTAGCCACGTCAGAGTTAACATGGAGACTCAGAGCTAATGTAACGCACACACGTCGACATGGTACTTCGGACTCTTGCGAGACGACGAATCATGCTCGCACCGATCGGGGTCGTACGAGAATGCGTAAAACCATGCAGGTCGATCCGTGCCATGCAAAGTATATGGGTTGATCATCTAAAGCATCGACGATCATTAAATGGACTACATACGATCGACTCTCAGTCGCAGGTATAAAGGCCGAACCCCTGGCCAACATCAGGGGATTGGACCTCAAACACCCACAAAATACTTTTAAATTCTTCTGAGACTAACTTAAACTTCAAATGAGTCAAGTCGAGTATTCGCCCTCTCGTCATCGACCTTTTCTCTATATGGAGGCGCCTCCAATGGAGAGTTCCAAGTCCCACCTTGGGCTAGCTCAAGAGATGTCCACCCTGACCCAACCTCCTCCTCATCAACCCCCAAGACACTGCACGTGGACGCTTTCGCACGATCGAGAATAGGCCGAGCTGTACCGACTCCCAAGATACGGCATGAACGCTACAACAATTATTACAGTTCATTCTCATTCTGTTATCTCGATCAAATGCTTGTCTTTTGATTAAGCAATTGGATTGTCTTATGCTTATGGTATAAAAGTTAAGATCTTCTATATCTATACGTAACATTCCTCCAATAAAACCATTGGATTGTCTAAAAAAACATATGAAATCATTGAAGAATTGCAGCGCAACTCGTCCTACTACTACTCAACATAATAATGTACTTATCTTAGATCTTTGGTTCGAAAACTTATCTAATAAACTTTTGAAAGACATCATATAGCCAGTGATATAATGTTTCATACCAGTTAGGTCTCGATATATGAAGCTTCATAGTTAATATTTCATGCGGATTGGGATTGAGATTCGATACGTGAAGCCGAGTTAATCAAACTAAATATTCTTGTATTTCATTCTATAAATAGGTGACTTTCAAGTATGATTCAAGATCCAAAACACTTTTTTGCTCTCCTCTCATTGATTTGAGCGTCGAAATGATTGCCCCAAATATATACATGACATAATGCCCATGAGAGATTCGTCCATATTTCAGTGGCTCGACCACCTAGTGTTCATGGCCTTTCCACGAGGAAGCCAATGGCAGAAGGAGAAGCGTTGACACAACTAATGATAGGTTTCTGGTCATCTATCGATCTATCTATATATGTAGAGACTATCCTCCTCCTCCTTGTGTACACAAATACCTTCACCCTATCTATGTATCGATTCTTGCATTTCTTGGACTGAAATGAGCATCAGAGAGGTTCCTACTAAATCAAACTTAATCGGCCCTTAGTTCCATAGATCTCCACCAGTGCTCAGCTTTTCTCAGCTAGCTTAGTAATTGACTTCTGGCATGGCATTTCATCTATCTATTTAGTTATCTGCAATCAATCGGCTGCTACAGATCTTTGTGTTGGAATGAACTTAACGTGAGTTGAAGTTGGATGTAAGGTACTGTTCTCAAATCTTTATTGTTACTGTTTACGGCATGAATTAAGATACTGCTCGAATACTGTAGATTTTACTTCCATGCATGAGGAAGAAGATTGCTTTCGTTTTGAGGATTTCAGAGGAGATCTTATTAGGGTATTTAAATGCCATTTTTCTGGAGACAATGATTGTTCATATGACAGCTTAAGTGTCTCTGCAACTCAATAATGACCTCCTTGTGATTTAGTCGTATCTGAAGGTTGCACTCACTTGCATGCAAGAAGACTTTGCGATGTATGTGTTGTAGAAGAGTCGCAGCCACTCCACATCACAACGCAGGTCTTCTTCTCCCTCCCGCACAGCATATCCAAGCACCATTCTTAAGATGGCCGGTCAGGATCGATCCCGACTACAAGTGGAAGAATATTCTTGGATCATGGTGGGACTGCTCTGGCTTCTCCAGCCAATCCGGTGTTGGAGGAAATGCATTGTCGATGTGACATGAGCTTTGACAATCCCATAGATGCTCAGCTACTGCAAGCAGAGTCAACAACGCTGAGATGAAAAGTGGTCACAGTGCTGCCATTTTCTTGAGTTTTCTTTTTTGGAAAGAGAAAATGAGGCAAACTAGCTAGAGTGTGAAAGAAAGATGAAAAGAATTATGCAAGTCGAAGATGAGAGGTAGGGGAGTTGAGAACAAGCTTGCCACTCTTGGATATATATGAATTAGGAATGGAAAGAGGAACAGGGAAGTTGAAGTTGGCCAACTCTTGGATTTAGTGAAGAAAGGAATGAAGCCAAGAGAAGAGTAAGGAGGAATAGAGAAGGCCAAACTCTTTTCTTGGCTGTGTTCTCCAAAGTCCTCTCCCAGCTACAAGGAGGCTTTATTTATCTTGTCTGCTAGCTGATCCTGCAAGGAAGAAAACTTTATGTGCCAATAACATACTAATATTGCAGAAGAAACATGATCATGGAGGCCTCAAGGGAAAAAGCAACTGCAGGTGCAGACCATGTGTCATCTTCTTGAAGGAAAATGCCATGCTTTATTCTGTTTAACTTACCATGTTCATCCCCAGTTTAACTTCAGCACAGGTTTGCTCAATAATTGCCATGCTTTTATGTTCTTTTATTTAATGAAATGATAGTGTGTAGGAGTGGACCATACAGAAATTTTATGATGAGACAATAATGACTGCTATTCTGTACACCAAATTGACATCAAAAAATGCTGCCACTATGAGACCAGCAGCAAAATGAAGGGAAGATTATAGTAATAGTTTCTTTGGAAAAAAAATCTAAAAGAAGATATCAATATTAAATATACAAATTGATTGGTGTCCAATTCAGATAATAAAATGGTGGGATGGGTAACAAAAGTCATCAGATTTTTCATAAGGAACTTCACTTATGACACTCTAATGCTGTAAACCAAAGCTAAAGAAGAGAAGAAACAGGGGAAGCCAGCAATTTGGAGTTCCCCTTGCAAGGTTTACATGTAACACAGAAAATGACTATCCTACACCATATATTGCATTTTATTCATATGAATTGGTTTCGGTTTCTTGGCAATTATTGGTGTTAGTCTTTGATGCTGGGAAGGAATGAGTTCAAGATGGAGTGGGTTCGCCTGAGCTTGGAGAGATAAGGGAAAAGATGAGATAAAGGCATTTATGATCATGACAGATACTTTGTAGCAGAAGAAGAAGACAAAAAAGAAAAGCAAAAAGGAGATGGTCTTTTCTGTTGGTCAACCCACACATTTTGATGGTATTTATTCCAAAGAAACCAATAACTCTAAAGTGGAAAATTATTGGCCCATTGTTTTTTTCAATGTGATACATAATTTCTTGACCAAAGATCATACTAATAGGATTAGAAATTAATTTGAAGGATCAATTGATAAGAATAATTATTTTTATGTTGAAAAATAATATTAGGATAATATACTTATTATCACGAAGTTAACTCACACAATAGTTAGATCTAAAGGAAAATACTTGT